TTTAACTTGCATAGTAAATTGTATTTTTTCATTTGCTATACAGCCCGGTAATACGACAAATCGCTAACCTTGAACACCCAGTCGTTCATAAAAGTTGAAGGCGGTATAGTACTATGGTAATAGAGCAAGTGCAGAATCACTGAACCGGAATTGATAGCTTGAAAGTGCAGGGCCTGTAGCATATGTAGCTACTTGTGCTACTAGGCTAATCCGGCACTGTACCCGCCCCCCTACTGTGAAAGAGCTTCATTGCTCATCGGATTCCTCCAGGATTAAACATTCTGAGACGCACACGGAGGTGAAACACTCCACTCTCGTTCACTCAGAGACAAATGTCTCTCCCCACAGACAGACTGTGGGGTCACGTGCCCTTGGGAGCGAGCGGCGAGCGCCTACGAAGGCCCGGCGCTGTGGGGCACACCACGTGCTGGCTGGCCAGCATCGCGCCGGGCCGCCTTTGTCTCCCCAGTGGCGACGTTTCCTGCACATCGCACCGCATAGGAGACATCACGGCGGCATGATGAATGCGATGGACTCCCCCCACAGGGTCTCCTGACGCGGTGATCTGGCTTGACCTCCTCAATGTGAAATTGTCGTCGAAGCCTCCTGCATGGACACGAGCGGCAGCCCGTACGACAACACGACGCTGCCAGTCGGGTTCCCACGTAACTCCCCGGCGACAGCACGACCCCGAGCGTAATTTAAATATGGTCTTTATTTTCGTTTTAATTAACAAAAGGTTTAAAACATGTGCTGGGTGGGTGGGGGGGGGGACAAGAACCACAAAGCTCGTTGTCGACGACCAGTTAGCATTACCGACGACGAGTTACCATCAATGACATTATCATCGACGAGGCGTTATCATCAATGACATTATCATCGACGATGAGTTATCGCAGAGTTGTCATCGACGAGGAGTTGCCATCGACGGGCTATCACCATCATCGACGATGACGACCGAACCCACAGATCGATCGTGGGCCAAACGTCACTTCTCGACGACCCGTGTCCACAACCACATTTGACCCGGAAACACTGTTTATAAATTTGTATTTTCTTCCAATCTTTACCCCCCCCACCACCGCCGCCACCACCAAAAATCTCCCCAAATTCATTACAATTTGCGCTAAGCGGCGTTACGTCAAAACAGCGCGTAGGAGGAATCCTCGATTTGAAGTCTTCGTGACTGCAACGATCCATACTTTTTGGTTCTTTCGGTAAAGTCACGTAGGTGAAAAATAAAATAAAATGAATAAAAATATTTATTTCATATTTTATTTTTACCTACGTGACTTTACCGAAAGAACCAAATAGTGAGGAGGAATCCGTTCGGAATTCTGGTGCACGGCTGCCCGGCCGGCCTCCCCCACCCCCTCCATCCTCCGTCGTGTCAGGCGACGTCTTGGGGGCAAGCGGAGATCACGGAGCTGCCCCCGAGATCCCTCGATTATTCCTAGCGACGCTCTGGTTGGTCCACACACGCACACACGCACGAGTAGGGGGGGGGGGGGTGCCAGATGACCTTCCCCACCACGCCGTGGCACCGAGAGTGGGCCTCGTCACGTCACGAAGTCGCCGAACGGGCAAGGTTTGAATTCTCAAGAGCTGAGATTTTCGCATTAAATCAGGCACGGAACTAAATACAATGTCAAGAGGATTCTTGTGGCGTCACTGGTGACCGGGTTGAGGCCACCACCCACTTGCACGACACTTGATAACCCGGTGTAATTACAGCCCAGTTAATGCCAGTCTACGAGTCTGTGTGTTTGTGTATCTCTGCTAACGTGGGTCTCTATGCGAGTTTGCGAGTCTGTGTCTCTGTGCGAGTCTACGGGTCTCTGTGAAAGCCGGAGCGGAACCCAGGCCTCCTCGGCGTCTCCGACCTCCGAGCCACCCGGCCACCGACACCAAGCGTTTCTCATTTAATTAGCCGTCGGGTCAATTTCCGCTCCCCCCCCCCCCCAACCCTCAGCGGAGCAGCGACGATCGGCAGGGAAGCGCACGGCACGCGGGACGGTGGTGGGGGGGGGGTCATGGAGAACGCCGGTGGATGGACGGAGGCGTGGGTCACACAGCGAGAGGAGAGAGAGAAGCCACGGGGAAGTCACGGCCAGAGCGGGGCGGGGGGACGTTACAGAGAGTTGGACGTCGTCGGCAGAGAGTGGCGTGGAATACATCGGTGTGGAGCTCGCGCAGCCGATTGGTGCGGTGTTGAGCAGGGGGCTGTGGTGCTGATGGTGCGGTGTTGAGCAAGGTGCTGTGGTGCTGATGGTGAGCAAGGTGCTGTGGTGCTGATGGTGCGGTGTTGAGCAGGGTGCTGTGGTGCTGATGGTGCGATGTTGAGCAGGGTGCTGTGGTGCTGATGGTGCGGTGTTGAGCAAGGTGGTGTGGTGCTGATGGTGAGCAAGGTGCTGTGGTGCTGATGGTGCGGTGTTGAGCAGGGTGCTGTGGTGCTGATGGTGCGATGTTGAGCAGGGTGCTGTGGTGCTGATGGTGCGGTGTTGAGCAGGCTGGCATTAAATAGTGGGCGCAGCGTGGAAGAGATAGCGAGGTGTGGACTAGAGAGTGGTGTGCCTTGTGTGGCTAGGCTCGGTGTGGTACAACTTAAAACACGGTGCGACATTGTGGTGGTTGTGGCCAGGCAAGCACCGCCACCTTCGTCATCACCACATCAACACCATCACCCATCCTCCACCACCAACAAAACCACCACCATCGCCATCAATATCACGCTCCGCCACCGCCACCGCCACCGCCACCGCCGCCGCCGCGATCGATCACAGGAAGTACGGCGTGGTGGTGCGGGGCGGGATAACGCGCTCGGAGTCCGGCACGGCGCGGAACAGCCGCGGCTCCCGCGTGCTGGCGTCCGGGAACACCATGATGGAGGCGATGTTGCCGCAGCGGTAGCAGTAGTTGGGCGCCGACCAGACGGTGACGAGCTTCTCGTCGAACATGAACTTGTAGCCCTCGTGCACCAGCTGGTGGGCCCGGCAGATGAGCTTCAGGTTGTTGATGTGAACGAACTGTGGGCGGGTGGGGGCAAGGGTGGGCGCGGGTGGAGGTGTGGGCGGGTGGGGGCGTGCGTGGGTGGGGGCGTGCGTGGGTGGGCGCGTGCGTGGGTGGGTTGTTGGTGGTTTGTGGGTGGGCGGATACATTGGTGGGTGGGTGGGTTGGAGCAGACACAAAGACAAAGGTCACCCACCCGTGTAGCCTCTAACAAGAGTGCTGTGGCAAGTGCTGTCAGCGAGCACGGCAAACAAGGGGTAGGGTGGCTGGGACCGATTCAGATCATCGTTACTGGATGGGTTCGTAGCGTGGCGCTCGCTACCCGCTACACTACCTCTCTGTGAGAGCGACGAGTGGATAGCGTACAGCACAGGCTCGGGTAGATTCCCTTTTACAGCGAGTCGCCCGCTCCACCTCCACACACTCCCCTCCCTCCTCCTCGACTCCCCTCCTCCTACCCCCTCTACCTCCTCCTGACTCCTCCCTCCTCGACTCACCACCCCCCCCCCCCCCCCCCTTCCTCAACTCACCTCGTTGGTGACCTTGGCCCCGAACAGCCAGCCGGCGCCGCGGGGGCTGATGGCCCACGTGTCCACGTCCTCGGGGTCGGACCAGACGAGGTCGCAGAAGGCGCCCTTGTGCGGGATCTCGATGTTGCGCTCGATGGTGCGGATCTGGTCCAGGGTCTTGATGTCGGGCGAGAGGCCCCCGTGAACGCACAGCACCTGCTCGTCGATGAGCTGCGGTCGGCACGCGCGCGCACAAGCAAAGGTTCACCACCACCACCCACCACCACCACCCACCGCCACCCTTCACCGCCACCGCCGCCGGCGCTGCCGGGGCAGCCTCTGACAACGGACTGGTCGGGGGGTGCGTGGGTCGGTAGGCGAGGGGGTGGGTAGGTGAGTGGGTCGGTAGGTGAGTGGGTGGGTGAGTGGGTGGGTAGGTGAGTGGGTGGGTAGGTGTGTGGGTCGGTAGGTGAGTGGGTGGGTAGGTGAGTGGGTGGGTAGGTGAGTGGGTGGGTAGGTGAGTGGGTGGGTAGGTGAGTGGGTGGGTAGGTGAGTGGGTCGGTGAGTGGGTGGGTAGGTGAGTGGGTGGGTGAGTGGGTGGGTAGGTGAGTGGGTGGGTAGGTGAGTGGGTCGGTAGGTGTGTGGGTGGGTAGGTGTGTGGGTGGATAGGTGAGTGGGTGGGTAGGTGTGTGGGTGGGTGAGTGGGTGGGTAGGTGAGTGGGTGGGTGGGTAGGTGAGTGGGTCGGTAGGTGTGTGGGTGGGTAGGTGAGTGGGTGGGTAGGTGAGTCGGTGGGTAGGCGAGTGGGTGGGTAGGCGAGTGGGTGGGTAGGCGAGTGGGTGGGTAGGTGTGTGGGTGAGTGGGTGGGTAGGTGAGTGGGTGGGTAGGTGCGTGGGTCGGAAGGTGAGTGGGTGGGTAGGTGCGTGGGTGGGTAGGTGCGTGGGTCGGAAGGTGAGTGGGTGGGTAGGTGCGTGGGTCGGAAGGTGAGTGGGTGGGCAGGTGAGTGGGTGGGTAGGTGAGTGGGTGGGTAGGTGAGTGGGTGGCTAGGTGAGTAGGCGAGTGGGTGGGTGGGTGACGGAGCACTCACCGCGGCCACCGTGAGCATGTCGAACACCTTGGTGCAGTACCGCCACGCGTTGGCGTTGCCGTACTTGGTGAGACACTCGTCTGCGTGGAGGCACGGGGATCACGCACAGACAAAGGTTCCCCGTGTAGCCTACACAGGCTGCTGGGGCAAGTGCCGTTAGCGCGGAGAAGGCCGGCGCGGTGCACGAGGTGGTGGGGTGGCCAGCACCGCGGCACATGCCGATGTTCACACAAAGATCCCCCGCGTAGCCTTGCAAAGACTGTGGGGCAAGTGCTGTTAGCAAGTAGTAGCACCGTTTAAGGTCGGCACGGATATTTAAATCGGTCCTGTTGGTCCTCCCCTAGGTAGACTGTGTGTTAGTGGGGGGCTGTGTGTGTTAGTGGGGTGCCGTGTGTGTGTGTTAGTGGGGGGCCGTGTGTTTGTGTTAGTGGGGGGCCGTGTGTGTGTGTTAGTGGGGGGCCGTGTGTGTGTGTTAGTGGGGGGCTGTGTGTGTGTTGGTGGGGGGCCGTGTGTGTGTGTTAGTGGGGCACCGTGTGTGTGTTAGTGGGGGGCCGTGTGTGTTAGTGGGGGGCCGTGTGTGTGTTAGTGGGGGGCCGCGTGTGTGTGTCGGTGGGGGGCCGTGTGTGTGTGTGTGTTGGTGGGGGGCAGTGTTTGTGTGTGTCGGTGGGGGGCCGTGTGTGTGTGTGTGTTGGTGGGGGGCCGTGTGTGTGTGTGTGTCTACACTGACCGTAGAATCCGTAGACCTGCGTGATCTGCCTGGACTCGTGGTTTCCACGCAGCAGGGTGATGCGGTCGGGCCAGCGTGCCTTGAGCGCCAGCAGGAACGTGAACGTCTCCAGACTGTAGTAGCCTCGGTCCACAAAGTCTCCCTGCAGATACAAGGACAAAGACCCCCCGTGTAACCTTAACAGACTGTAGGGGCAAGTGCTGTTAGCGAGCGCCTACGAAGGCCCGCACGGCACACGAGGGGGCGGGTGGCCAACACCGCGCCCGGCCGCCTTTGTCTCCCCAGTGGCGATGTTTACACACCGCACCGGGTACTCATTTGATGACGGGTCGACCTAGGGGAGGCCCGGGACCGGTTCAGATAATCGTCAGCGGTGTTGGCCATGAGCGGGAATCCAACTCGGGTGGCAGGGTTCGTAGTGTAGCGGTTAGCGCGCTGCGCTATGAACCCTGCGACCCGAGTTGGATTCACACAGCAGATACACACACGCGCAAACGCGGATATACAGTGAGGGAAAAAAGTATTTGATCCCCTGCTGATTTTGTACGTTTGCCCACTGACAAAGAAATAATCAGTCTAGAATTTTAATGGTAGGTTTATTTGAACAGTGAGAGACAGAATAACAACAACAAAATCCAGAAAAACGCATGTCAAAAATGTTATAAATTGATTTGCATTTTAATGAGGGAAATAAGTATTTGACCCCCTCTCAATCAGAAAGATTTCTGGCTCCCAGGTGTCTTTTATACAGGTAACGAGCTGAGATTAGGAGCACACTCTTAAAGGGAGTGCTCCTAATATCAACTTGTTACCTGTATAAAAGGCACCTGTCCACAGAAGCAATCAATCAATCAGATTCCAAACCCCTCCACCATGGCCAAGACCAAAGAGCTCTCCAAGGATGTCAGGGACAAGATTGTAGACCTTCACAAGGCTGAAATGGGCTACAAGACCATTGCCAAGCAGCTTGGTGAGAAGGTGACAACAGTTGGTGCGATTATTCGCAAATGGAAGAAACACAAAAGAACTGTCAATCTCCCTCGGCCTGGGGCTCCATGCAAGATCTCATCTTGTGGAGTCGCAATGATCATGAGAACGGTGAGGAATCAGCCAAGAACTACACGGGAGGATCTTGTCAATGATCTCAAGGCAGCTGGAACCAGTCACCAAGACAACAATTGGTAACACACTACGCCGTGAAGGACTGAAATCCTGCAGCGCCCGCAAGGTCCCCCTGCTCAAGAAAGCACATATACATGCCCGTCTGAAGTTTGCCAATGAACATCTGAATGATTCAGAGGACAACTGGGTGAAAGTGTTGTGGTCAGATGAGACCAAAATGGAGCTCTTTGGCATCAACTCAACTCGCCGTGTTTGGAGGAGGAGGAATGCTGCCTATGACCCCAAGAACACCATCCCCACCGTCAAACATGGAGGTGGAAACATTATGCTTTGGGGGTATTTTCTGCTAAGGGGACAGGACAACTTCACCACATCAAAGGGACGATGGACGGGGCCATGTACCGTCAAATCTTGGGTGAGAACCTCCTTCCCTCAGCCAGGGCATTGAAAATGGGTCGTGGATGGGTATTACAGCATGACAATGACCCAAAACACACGGCCAAGGCAACAAAGGAGTGGCTCAAGAAGAAGCACATTAAGGTCCTGGAGTAGCCTAGCCAGTCTCCAGACCTTAAGCCCATAGAAAATCTGTGGAGGGAGCTGAAGGTTCGAGTTGGCAAACGTCAGCCTCGAAACCTTAATGACTTGGAGAAGATCTGCAAAGAGGAGTGGGACAAAATCCCTCCTGAGATGTGTGCAAACTTGGTGGCCAACTACAAGAAACGTCTGACCTCTGTGATTGCCAACAAGGGTTTTGCCACGAAATACTAAGTCATGTTTTGCTGAGGGATCAAATACTTATTTCCCTCATTAAAATGCAAATCAATTAATAACATTTTTGACATGCGTTTTTCTGGATTTTGTTGTTGTTATTCTGTCTCTCACTGTTCAAATAAACCTACCAGTAAAATTATAGACTGATAATTTCTTTGTCAGTGGGCAAACGTACAAAATCAGCAGGGGATCAAATACTTTTTTCCCTCACTGTACATGCAAATACGTACGCAGATACACACAGAAGACAAAGATCTACCCCCCTCCCCCCCCCAGTATAGCCTTAACAGACTGTTGGAGCAAGGTGCTGCAAGGGAGCTCCAGACACACGAGTTAAGACTTCTGCACGGCCAAAATGCTGCGTTGCAGACGTGGGTTTTGAAGGCTTTGCGTGACCAATATCGTGTAAATATCTCCGTTAATATTTACGCAATACAACCCCAAAAAAAAATGTATTCTCGACGCGGCTTTGCGGGACTGTTGCCCGTCCGCCTGGCCGTTCCCTTACGACGGAAAAAGAGTCCCGGCGAGCTCCGTGGGCCGAGTCCGCGAGCCCCAGCTGTGGGCACTGCCCACGTTGGGCGGGCACGGCGAGGTGGGGGTTGGGGGAAGGAGGGGGCAGGGTGGTCTGGGCTGGTTCCCCCCCGCGATTGACTCACCATGAAGATGTAGTTGGTGTCGGGAACCTCACCCCCTGTCCGGAACAGCTCCTTCAGGTCGTAGAACTACACGGGGGAGGGGAGAGGGGACGTACACACACAGAGATCCTCCTCCGCTATAGCCTCAGCAGACTATCGGGTCTATGAAGAGACCGGCACGGCCAGCACAACACCCGGCCGCCTTTGTCTCGCCGGTGGCGATGCTCACACATTACACCAGGTACTCATTTGCGGCCGAGTCGTAGCGCGGCGTAGCGCTAACCGCGACACCACCGCTCCCCCCACCAACACAGCCACAGTCACACACACACACACAGCGCGCGGGTTCGACGCGAGAGACCCCTCACACTGCGAATGAGTGTGCACACGGGGTGTGGTGTGACGCGCGTCGTGACGAGCGTTGTGACGTGCGGGCACCTGTCCATGGATGTCCCCGCACACCGTGACGGGAGTGGACACGGGCTGCACGTTGGACTCCTCCAGCAAGAGGTCGCACACATAGTCACAGAGGCGCTGCGTAACACACACACAGTGTCATACACAGTGTCATACACACAAAGAAGACAAAGATCCCCCCTATAGCCTTAACAGACTGTGGGGGCAATTTCTGTTAGCGAGCACCTATGAAGGCCGGCACGGTACACGAGGGGGTGGGTGGCCAGCACCACGCCCGATCGCCTTTGTCTCCCCAGTGGCGATGTTTACCCACCGCACCAGGTACTGATTTGAGGCTGAGTCGACCTAGGGAAGGCCCATGACTGGTTCAGATAATCGTCACTGGTGTTGGCCGTGAGCGGGAATCGAACCCGGGTCGCCGGATTCGTAGCGCAGCGTCGCGCTAACCGCTACACCACCGCTCCCCACACACCATCACACACACGGCATCATGCACACACACACTGAGATAGCATCACAAGGCAGTATTAAACACACAGACCACTGCACAGACAGATAAATACAGCTCTACACACACACACAAGACAAAGATCCCCTGTACAGCCTTAACAGACTTTTGGAGAAAGTAGCGAGTAGCAGCACTTATTAAGGCCGGCACGGCACACGAGGGGGTGGGTGGCCAGCACCACGCCCGGCCGCCTTTGTCTCCCCAGCGGCGATGTTTACACATTGCACCAGGTACTCATTTGAGGTCGGCCCCGGATCGATTGAGATAATCCGTCACGGGTGGTGGTGGTGGTGTTGGCCGCGAGCGGGAACCGAACTCGGGTGGCCGGGTTCGTACCGGTCTGCCTACCAAACCCTACCGGTCTGCCTACCAAACCCTACCGGTCTGCCTACCAAACCCTACCGGTCTGCCTACCAAACCCTACCGGTCTGCCTACCAAACCCTACCGGTCTGCCTATCAAACCCTACCGGTCTGCCTACCAAACCCTACCGGTCTGCCTACCAAACCCTACCGGTCTACCTACTGAACCCTACCGGTCTACCTACTGAACCCTACCGGTCTGCCTACCAAACCCTACCGGTCTGCCTACCAAACCCTACCGGTCTACCTACCAAACCCTACCGGTCTGCCTACTGAACCCTACCGGTCTGCCTACTGAACCCTACCGGTCTACCTACCAAACCCTACCGGTCTGCCTACCAAACCCTACCGGTCTACCTACCAAACCCTACCGGTCTGCCTACTGAACCCTACCGGTCTGCCTACTGAACCCTACCGGTCTGCCTACCAAACCCTACCGGTCTGCCTACTGAACCCTACCGGTCTGCCTACCAAACCCTACCGGTCTACCTACTGAACCCTACCGGTCTGCCTACCAAACCCTACCGGTCTGCCTACCAAACCCTACCGGTCTACCTACCAAACCCTACCGGTCTACCTACCAAACCCTACCGGTCTGCCTACCAAACCCTACCGGTCTGCCTACCAAACCCTACCGAACCCTACCGGTCTGCCTACTGAACCCTACCGGCCGCCTTGATCTCCGCCAGTGATTACAGTATATTTATCTCTCACACGTAAAGACAAAGACCCCCCATGTAGCCCGCAGACTGTCGGGGCAAGTGCTGTTAGCGAGCAGCAGCACCTGTGAAGGCCGGCACTGTGGCACACGAGAGGGGGGGGGGGTGGGGGGCCAGCACCACGCCCGGCCACCTTTGTCTTCCCTCCCCCCCCACAGCGGCGATGTTTACACACCGCAACCAGGTACTTATTTGAGGCCGAGTCGACCTAGGGGAGGCCCAGGACCGCTTCAAGATAATCGTCACTCGAACTCGGCTCGCCGGGTTCGTAGCGCGGTTCGCTTCCCGCTACAGCACACAAAGACAAAGACCCCCCGTGTAGCCTGTGACAGGCTGTCGGGGCAAGTGCTGTTGGCGAGCAGCAGCAACTACGAAGGCCGGCAATGTGGCACGCGAGGGGGTGGGTGGCCAGCAACCACGCCCGGCCGCCTTTGTCTCCCCCCAGCGGCGAATGTTTACACACCGCACCGGGTACTCATTTGAGGCCGAGTAAACCTAGGGGAGGGGGCCCGGACCGTCACCGGTGTTGGCCGTGAGCGGGAATCGAACTCCAACTCGCGGGGTTTCGTAACGCGGCGCGCTAACCACTACACCACCTCTCCCCACAACACAGAGAGAGAGGGGACACGGAGCCCCTCGCTCGCGACTAAATGTCCGCTCCGCGTGTTCTCTCTGTGCCCCACCCACCGCCTCTCACCTTGAGGTCGTTCTCCGGGAGGTACTTGCACTGCTTGGCGATGTCAATGTACTTATCCAGGTCCAGAGGCGCCATCTTCACTCCTCCTCCTCCTACAGGCCGCGGCTGCCGGGTTGCATTCCCTAATGCGGATAAGAGTGCGTGGTTTATATTCCCCAGTGCGGATAGGATTAGCGATTTATATTACCTAGTCCGGATAGGAGTATGGGGTTATATTACCTAGTGCGGATAGGAGCAATGGTTGGATTCCATAATGCACATAGGATTATGAGGTTATATTCCCCAATGCGGATAAGAGGAGATTATATTCCCCAATGCGGATAAGAGTAACGTTTCTATTCCCCAATGCGGATAGGAGTTGGGGGTATATATTATCTAGTGCGGATAGGCGCAATGGTTAGATTCCATAGTGCACATAGGAGTATGTGGATTATATTCCACAATGCGGATAAGAGGGGATTATATTCCCCAATGCCGATAAGAGTAACGTTTCTATTCCACAATGCGGATAGGAGTGGGGGGTTTATATTACCTAGTTCGGATATGAGTATGGGGGTTTATATTACCTAGTGCGGATAGGCGCAGAGGACTGGATTCCATAATGCACATAGGAGTATGGGGTTATATTTATTAGTGCGGATAGGAGTGGGGTTTATATTACCTAGTGCGGAAATAAATAGGTTATATTCCATAGTGCACATAGGCGTATGTGTTTGTATTACATAGTGCGGATGGGAGTTGGGATTTATATTCCCTAGTGCGGATATGAGTAGGGGGTTTTATATTACCTAGTGCGGATAGGAGAAGAGGGGGTTACATTCCCTAGTGCACATAGGCGTATGGGTTTATATTACCTAGAGCAGATGGGAGTTGGGTTAATATTCCCGAGTGCGGATATTAGTGGGAGTTTATATTAACTAGTGCGGATAGAAGCAGAGGGTTACATTCCATAATGCAGATCGGAGTGGGGTTTATATTACTTGCTGCGGATAGGAGTGGGGTTTATATTCCCTAGTGCGATTAGGAGGTGGTTTTATGTCCCTTAATATGGATCAGAGTAATCTAGGATTGAAGCTTTCGTGACTGCACGAATTACTATACTTATTGATTATTTCGGTAAAGTGACGTATGTAGAAATAAAATATACATTTTAATTTTTTTTTATAAAAAAAGTAGTTTTTCTTTTATTTCTACATACGTGACTTTACTGAAAGAACGAATGGGTATGGATCAGTGTCGTGATAGATTTTCTACAGCAGATAATGCAATGGTTTTGTACATCTCAGAATTTTTATTTAGACTGTAGGAGTCCGATGAGCTATGAAGCTATTTTTCGGGTCAGAAAGTTACAATAACAAACAATAGCAAGTCACTATTAATAAAGTACTCAATATAAGTACGAATTGCATAAGTACATCCCTGCCCATTTTTTTAAAACACTAAATGCAAGCTTGGACAAGACCACATGTGCGCATAAGAAACAAGCAGTATAAACCACAATACATTTAAATAGAGATATAATCGGTGACGTTTCTGGCAATGGCCCTTCTGCAGAGCACGTACAATGCTCGGCACACACACACGGCAGGGGGCAGTGCAGCACCACGCGTGAGTGCGTCGTCGGGAGCGGTGGTGCAGCAGAAAGCGCTACGATGCGCTACGAACCTGGCGTCGCGAGTTCGATTCCCGCTCACGGCCAACACCCAGTAACGATTGTCTGAACCGGTCCTGGGCCTCCCCCTAGGTCGACTCAGCCTCAAATGAGTACCTGGTGCGGTGTGTAAACATCGCCACTGGGGAGACAAAGGCAGCCGGGCGTGGTGCTGGTGGCCGATCACCCCCTCGTGTGCCGTGCCGGTAGCCTTTATTAGGTGCTACTCGCTCACAGCACTTGCCCCAACAGTCCGTCAAAGGCTATCTGGGGGATATTTGTCTTTGGCGTCGCATCGATTAGCCCACCGCGATATACGAACCCGGCGACTCCGATCTTGAGTGTCGCTCACGGCCAACATCAGTGGCGAGTAATGTCCGAACCGGTCCCTGGGACTGCCCCTAGGTCCACTCGACCTTAATTCGAGTGACTGGGAGATTCAAGGACGACGTTGACATTACCAAAGCATATTTGTTTGCACGTTTTACCACAACTATGTAATATATGTTACAGGATATCGGTACGGTTCAATGTCAAAGTCTCTCAGGGTTCAATGTTAAATTATCCCGTAGCGTTCCATAGGGTTTAGTGATACAGGATATCATAAATTTTGATTTAAAGCTTTCGTGACTGCAGGGATTCATATTCTTGGTTCTTTCGGTAAAGTCACGTAGAAAGGAAACAAAATTTCAAATTTTCTTGTTGTGGTTTTCACACCTGATGATGATTGCTTGTGTTGCAGTCGAAACGTCGTGAGAATTTTATTATTTTATTATTTTATTATTTCCCTTCTACGTGACTTTACCGAAAGAACCAAGAATATGAATAGGATATCATAGGGTTCAGTGGTATAGTTTCCCATAGCGTTCAATGCTGCAGGATATCATAGGGTTCAATGTGAAATACCTCCATAGCGTCCAATGTTGCAGGATATCACAGGGCTCAATGTTACAGTCTGTCACGGGGTTCAATATTTCATTTCATTTATTTGGTATAGCCCTGTGAGCCATTCGGCTCTTGAATCGGGTGCAACAGCAACAAACAAAAACATGAACAAGAAAACATCTTAAAGTGACTACGCACAACAGAAAAATCCAGGAAAAAACAGCAAAATTCTTCCAGAAAAAGCACCGCATATCAACGCTGTGCGCAAAAAATCCCAGTGGGATGCAAGTCAAACAATAACAAGCATGAGACAATTTAGATGAAAGTTATCAGTCTAACTCTGTACTACAACAATCAAATATGGCTAATCCAATATTAAAGTCTCCCATAGCGTTCAATGTTACAGGATATCATCGGGTTCAACGTCAAAGTCTCCCGTAGGAGTTTCACAGCCCCCATCTGCGTGTGATCGACCAATCCTCGCTGCTGCTGTCACCACCCAGAGCGGTAGACCACCACCACCACGTGGTCACACAACGTGCCCAGACTTCATAAGCTGCTCGCTGACATCATTGGGCGATTTACAAAATGTAGCTGCTCACCACTGTGCCCTCTATTCTCCTCCGTGAATCCTTTCGAGGTGGTGGTGGCGGTGGGGGAGGTGGAGTCGTCGGCTAACTAGACAACAACAACAACGAACGATAAGAATAACAATCAAGTTCATAGACGGCGAGCAGTCGTGTTGACTGCGCTGTGTGCGGGCGTGCGACTCGACGTCGGCTCAGCACCACGGCAGACTTTGACTCCAAGAGACTTCTTCAGAAGGGGGCAACTTGCTGCGTCTGCAACGTCGATCGCAGCGAATGCTCGCTTGTAGTCACAACACCGCAGTTCAGTTCCCCTGGGCGAGTGACATAACGCAACAGAAATAAACTTTACTATCAAAGGCTCAACTGAGCGTGTTTTTTCATTCCAACCAATAACTCGACCGACGGGAAATTCGGGGGAATTTCCCGTCGGTCGATGCGCGTTCAAAGTCATGTCGATTTGAGTTACACACGTACATTATCGGGGCATCGTTGAATGCAGCTGACTGGTCGAGACGTTATTCACAAATCTCAATGCGTGGCGTGTTCCAACAATCTCTGGTCTTAAATAGCAGTCCAACTCACCTGTCTCTGCGTAGCGACTAGCAGAGTGAGCGCATAGAATACACGTACGATTCACCACGGGTCAGCTCACACCGGTTACATTATAATCATACGATGATCTCACGTCGTCTTGCTGTGCGGAGTGCTGCGTTGAATTGGTGCCCGTATCGGCGTTTATATTGCGGGAAGGAATCCAATGAGCTGTAAAGCTCTTTTATTTCACGGATGTCCAGTTAGGGGGCAAGTGGTCAGAACGTGACAACAGCAGCAAACAATACCAAGAAAAAAAACACGATGGAATTGCAAAACATAGGAAAGGTAAGCATATCATTTGAAAAATATATACAAATAAAACTAAACAATTTTTTTAAAATCTTACCAGGTAAGGTCCCACAGAGATATTAGCTTCTTTGCTTCTTTGGTAAAAAGATAAAAATTGGTTTTCTGTATCGACACAAGCACTGCTTCCCCCCAATGTTCCGTTTGGAATTGATAAAAGCTACCATACTGCCTCTACTTGACTACTGTGACATCGTGTATAAATCAGCCCCAAGTACTGTGCTAAAGAAGCTTGATTCCATCTATCACTCGGCCTTAAGATTTGCATTGAGCTGCCCATATAGGACTCACCACTGTGGTCTCTACATTGAGTCAAACTTAACATCTCTTAATGTTCGACGGTTTGTGCACCAGATCTTATTTATTCGCGATTTACAAAAAAATCCGCAGACTACCTGCTGGATCTCCTTTCTGTTTAAAAGAAATTTGACCTCAGGTCTTCGCTCATTTATCAGCTTCACATTCCCTATTGCCGTACAAAAACTGGAGGAAGGGCCTTTGCTATTGATGCCCCCAGAGTCTGGAATGCTATTGCCAATAAACTGCAACTTGAATCGCTACCAATGAGATCTTCTCTCAAAACTGCTCTAGAGGAGTTGTACACCCGTAGCTGCCACTGCTATTCATTGGCGTAAAATAAAATAAAATGTTTCGCTCCGGATGACGCTGCAAAGTATTATCTGTATTTTGATTTAGCGTGCTGATCTTAAAGGTGCATTGAAAAATGTGATACTCCGACCGATGCTTCTGTTGTTGTGGAGTAACTCATGCAGCCAGCTACGGCTCTAGGATTTGGTGTTATATGTTATTTATGTAGTTTATTGTAAAAATTCGGTCACAGTCCTTGTGATCACTGTTACGTTGCAATTATGGCTTTATTTTTTGGTGATTTGGAAAAGTTTTTTGGTTTGGACATGTTTGTTTTGTTGTAGTACGGAGTTAGACTGATGGCCTTAATCTAAGTTTTTGTGGTTGTTGTTGTTTGACTTGCATCCCACTGGGATTTTTTGCACACAGCGTTGGTGTACGGTGCTTTTTTCAGGAATATATTTGCTGTTTTTTTTTCCATGGATTTTCTGTTTGCACAGTCACATAGTCACTTTAAGATGTTTTTCTTGTTCGTG